GTGAGGCGAGTCGTACAAATTATCACGTTAGCTAAAAGCTTACTTTGTTCAGCATATATTTAACACAGAGTGGCATGCAGGGCAGTATTTTTTAGCTCAATAATATTTTTCTCTTCTTTTCGACAACTCTAGCACTGCAGATGACAATTCGTTTGAACTTGATCATACTGGTACATGTGTACATCAGTTTGAAAGCTGATACCAACCAAGCACTAATTCAATCTTCTGTAGCTGTGGAGAGTAAATGTCAGAGGAAAGGGTCAATTTTCAGCAACAAATTTTTGCCAGAGACTAATAAATCTTATTTATGACACGTTTTGGACTCCCTGGGGCTTTCTCACCGTGCAAACTCTGCAGCTGCTTGATAATGTGGATGGACAGGGCCATGGCCTTGTTGAGTTTCAGCACGAAGGCAGCTGGTAGGGCAATGCTGTTGTGCTGGTTCATGGGCGTGGCTTGGGGGCTCCTGAAACAGTAATCGTGGACAGGAATTGGTTGGTTAGCAGATCTAAAATTACGCCATTCTGCACTTGGGGTTTGCTGAGTGGACCAAAAAATCCATAGCTTCATTTATTTTTACAGGACAGTGCCCTCTGAAACAATGCTGTGATTAAATTGATGTTTTGTACTGGTATAATGGAGACCGTGGTTGTTACCACAACTGAGGTATTTTTAAAGATTTAGTACATGTAATTCTTGGTATGTGGGGGAGCCTGCTTGTAACAAACCTTGAGAATCTGAAAACCTTCGACCTTAACAGTGATTCCGAATAAAAAGGTTTCCTCTTTTATAATACTAGTTCGAATTGCAGCTTGAAGGAGAGAAGAAATTTTCAAACACTCATTGCACTACGAACATCTAACAAAGAAAACACAGTGCACATCCATTGTTATTGCACCGTACTTCTTTTGTTAGATGTTCAAAGTGTTTAACGCAGTGGACAGTTTTTGTCATTTAACTCAATTCCTGTTAGTACAGGAAACCTAACTCAACATGACTGCATCAAACAGTTCTCATAGCGACAAGTCTGCTCAGTGTACCAAGATCCTACAATCCCAAAACCAAACAGAATCCTAGTCTACTGGCCTAGCACCCACTGTCTCAGAATTGGCAGTTTTTACGCTTTTGCTGTTGACTCTCCAATGCAGTTGTGTTCCACAGATCCTGTTGGATCTTGCTGAATTGGGCAGGTTCAGAGTAAACACAGATCCTTACCCCATGGTCCCTTCTGGTGTGGTAGGCACAGTTATCAGTGGAACCGTCTGCAGCTTGCGCGTGGGTGAACTCTCCAATCCGACACTGACCGACAAGCCTAAATCCTTGGGCAGGGGATCTAGGAAGGATATCACCAACAAATGAGCATGAGTGTCACTGGAACCTATACAAAAATCCTGTTGCAGATGGAATGTAAGTACACCCCTTTTCATAATATGTGTTGAACCCAACAACTTTTTGTTACGAGGATTTTTTGGACGCGAGAATAAAAAACAAATTTAAAGCAAGAAAAAAGCATGATGGTTTCACTCAAGTTAGAGCCTGCATGCCAAATGACATACACAGCAGCTTTCAGGAAGTGGCAAGATTTTACGCTAGTTAATACCTTTCATATTCAACACTGTAGACTGCTTCTTCTCCAAATCCAAGAGGTCATAAGGTGAAACAAAGAAGGTCAATCTGGTGGGATAACCTGAATGGCAGGTGCAGAAAAAAAGTGAGTTGTTTATCAATTAAACTTCACTGAACTTTAATAATCCCTTTTGGTAAATCTTCAACCCCAATCTTCGTTACCAACAGCCTTCTTCATTTATGGAAAATATGATACAAATTGACCACGCCCACCAACAAGAAAAGTATAAATATAATTTTAAGAAAGCTCAAAAAATTAAAACTACATGCAGGGATGAGATTCTTAGAAAATTTAAAAAAAGCTGGAATTTGTGAGTGTGCGGTGCGAGACCCTTATTGGCATGCGTGCCCCAGGAAAATGTTCAACTTTAGATGATCTGTGGTGCAATCTAAGTCCCCCTAGGACACATTTTACAATAGAAACATTTGTCAAAGTCCATACTCTGAAAAACCTAATCGTTTTATTATTTGTGAACTTGATATGTGTTATACATCATACATGTAAAGACCCACCCATAGTTTTGTTCATCACTTATGGTTTCTCATGTGCTTGAAATTCGTGTTGATTGTGTTCACGTATACATGTATCTGATAGAGGATAATTTGTCTTCCGTGTCTAGAGTTCGCTGTTGTATTTCAACAGTTCAGCACGTGCTGTTAACATGGTTCAGGCAATTTTGCCCTGGCAAGCATAATTAATTTCTAACGTTACATCCCACCACTACCTTTTTGCCAATTCCCAAATAAATTTGGACAAGAACTCCTCCTATTTTGGCCTCACTTAACCCACTCCCATCGCCAGGAATTTTTATCCTGTTATCGATGTACTTCACCTTTCCTTCTTGATGAGTGATGTCTTTATGGGCAGACATAAAATACAAGCAAACTTCCTAAACATGTAAACAAGGCCCCAGAGCTTGCATTTCCAATATCCACCAAAACCTACTAAATCCAACAAGATGTCAACAAACCCCCTAAAACCACACTTCCACCCTCAGCAAAGACAGAAATATGTCTGGAATCTTCATGGACTAGGCTAAGAAGGTTTTTTGTTCGCTCTGCTTACCGCCAACTCTTGGAGTGAGCAGTCCTACAGGTCCCCTTGATATGTGTAGCATTGGCTGCGTCACTGACCTGGAGATACATCAATACACGGTCACTTCACCCACTGTACACCTACATGTAGCTCAATGTTAACATCAGTTTATACTGTCAATACAATCTAATCAACACAAGCATAATGTACTGACCCATTCAGCCTTGCCAACTGTCCAAGGATGGATCCAGTACTCACTTTTTTTTGGAGCGGGGTTAAACTTGTTTTTGGCGGGGACAAAACCTGAAATTTTTTCCATGAAACTTTTAGTGTCCTTTCTGAGGGGTAGGGCTACATTCTATTGCTTTTTATGTGCATTTTGAAGGATGGGAAATGAAGCATGTGAAAAAATAAGCCTTTCACTATTTTTGCAAAACAAAAAATATTTTTGGCTCTTTTTTTGAGGGGGGGTGGGGAAGGGCCATGACCTCCATCGGACCCCCCTCCCTGGATCTGCCCTTCCCGTTGCCAGCATGGGCAACAACAAGGGCACATCTCCAATGCCGTGCTGCATGCTCCCAGCTAATGCTCTACTGATAAATGTTTGAAAGGGAAGAATTTTCCAATGGGCAGCACTTAATGCTGGGATTAATTCTTTCTCACCTACCTGTACATCTTGAACAGCATACTAAGATCTGTCTCCAATGCTTGCAAACAATTGAATGCTTTGATTTTTTGGGCACTGCGTCAAAGATGGCCAAAACGAAAGGAAAAAAAAAAACAAAAACAAATAGAGGCATGGCTTATTAAAGTTGCACTTCGAACAATACTTTACACAAATAGATTTCTACATTTTTTTTATTTTGAAGATTTTACAAAGGCATAAATGCTGTTTGTGACTTGTCTTCTAATCAGAAGCTACACATACATTCTTATTTCCATTTTATTCGTGATATAACAGGGATGAGTTCCCAGTCGGCCATTCAAAATTTCTGATATGACCTGTCTTTTTCTCCTACAAAGAATATAAAGACAGGTTTTCCACAAGTACTTGCACTTAAATGCAGTTAGTTCTTTTCTCTCCGCAATATGTGATGCATGTATGTTACGATGAGTAAACACATTGTACCTGAAGATTATTGTGTTGTAGCTAACCATTTCTGATTCAAATCCCTGGACTTCGGCAGTTGCAACTGTAACTTTTACTATCAAATTGTTATGCAGTACTTTTCTAATTTTTGTTGGCTTGTGGAATTTGTTCTGACCTATCTCCTCCTGCCTGGTACAGCTGCAGCAGGCCCTTGAGATGTTCAGCAAATTCCTTAAAGTCATTCTTCTTCAGAACCTCGCACATCTCTGGGCAGGACTGCAGAGAAAACAAAACAGAAAGAAGAACTAGGAGAGGCACGCTATGTAGCCTCATCTTGTACACCACTGTGCCTGGCATAATTCCTGTGAGGGCTACAATAGGCACCCGGTCAAAAAAGACAGGTGGGTAATTCCAAAAATTAGGGGTCGTTGTTTTTCTTGTCCCTGACACATCTCCCATGATGTTGTGAGTTCAGAACAGTTTTTAATTTCCAAGAGTGATGAATGAAAATTACGTGCCAAACAAATAGTACTAGTTTGAAATCAATTCCGGTGATATTTCCATGTCAAATAACAAAAGGTCAGATGTCACAAGGACACAAAAATGTCACACTTTTGGACCCCTATTTTTTGGAACTTCCCAGGTATTTGCATGGTTCTATCTGCTCTGTACTGGCATGAGAGACAGCATGATTTGATGTGGCAGAGACTATCCTTGATGGGAGCTTGGTGCCTCATGCACACAGGTTCATGTATGCTAGGTCCAGTACACATGTACCGGTTGGTTGCGACGTGCAAGCAGATGTTATTGGAATGCATGGGTGTGTGCAAGTGAGTTGCCTGCTTGAGACCAGCTGAGGAACTTCCCACTGTCTGGTCTTTGCTGGTTAAGGGGTGCTTCTCATTAGACCAGATTACCACGAATTTCCACACACTGGGAACCCACCTTTCTGAAG